CGATGTAAATTTTTTGTTCGATATGTAGTGGCTGATAGAGGCTACTTTTATATATAATGTTGCATAAATAAATTATTTTTCCCAGTAGGAACTAAAATATTTTTGTCAATAGAAGTATTTTGCATTAACAACAAATATAACTTCATGAACTACCCCTACATATTATCGCTACACAGGGTGATTATTTTTCATATTGAACTGTCAGGTTAATTTTTATCTTTTTACATATTAAAGTTGAACCATGGCAAGATCTACGGAAGACTTGATACCAACAAAAAAGAAAATTATTTGTAATTACTGCCAAAGAGTAATAAGTAGTGCGGTACATAGGTTCAAGCAACACTTGGCAAGGGTTAAGGGAGATGTTTTTGCGTGCAATAGTGTCCCTAATAAAGTAAGAAAGTAGATGGCGGTATTTTTTAAGGCTACCAAAGGTAAAAAAATTACAAAGCAGAGGATGGATGAGGAGATAGCTAGTTTATATATGTCATCAAGCGGGAATGATCCAGAAGAGCAATATAATAATGACTTGGAGATGGCCACAAGAATGAGTTTATAGGAAACATATCAGAGGAAACGCAGGTTTAGAATGCTTGGTGGTTATGACATGGGCATGCATGGTGGGCCTAACTCAAACATGCAAGGCGGGTTCAGCTCGAGCATGTATGGCGGGCCCAGCTCAAATATGTATGGAGGGGTTGGTGGCAATATGTATCAAGAGGAATCAGACGTTAAAAAAATTGTTTCTAGCTTATCTAGGAGTCTCAGTATTGCAGGTCATGGTCGTATAAACCCATTTCTTTCAAAGCCTAAGTCATAACAGATGACCCTCAAAGGCATGGTGAAAGGTACAAGAAACATGTTGGGCAAATATGTTGGTAAATGGTTCTACGATAAAGGGATCCTCTTTGATGCAGTCAATAGCCCATATTTTCCACCTATGGTCAACGCAATCCAGAGAGTCGGGCTCAGGGTAAAACCCCCGACGGCATATGAGCTCAGTGGGCCAATATTAGATGAAGAGATGGAGGAAGTTAGAAAGTGGATTGAAGAATATAAACAGAATTGGCTAAGAACAGGCATTACTCTCATGAGTGATAGTTGGTTGAATAAAGTTAGCAAAAAGGAGTTTGTAAACTTCTTGGCCTATTCCCCAAAGGTGCAGCTTTTTTGTCTAGCAAAGACGTATCAAGGAAGAAGGATGCAAACTTCTACGTACGACTATATGATCAGATAGTGGAGGAGGTAGGAGATATGGATGTAGTCCAGTTTATTACGGACAATGCGCGTGCATGTGTTTCTGCCGGCAGCAAGTTGATGGATAAGAGG